CACGAGTGTGAAATTATTAAACGGTACGTCATAATCCAATTATTTTTAATTGTTATACGTAAGTAAAACGTCATGTCATTTTATATAATAGCTGAAAAATAAAATAAACATATCTTATTATAAATTCGCTTTATTTGACGTTAATATGTCTGAAAAGTCCCAAATAATAAATATAGAAATTAAAACCTTGAAAGTTTATATAAATTTTCGAAATTGTGGAAAAGCGAAAATAGTAATGCAATTAAACGCAATTTCCCATTGTTTGCTTGTTGATAAGATATTAGCTTTTTATGGCTTGTACTATGAAACTTCAGATAATATCAACAAAGATATTAGTCATAGGACTAACAAGAATTCTGTTATCTCCTTTTGATATATTATGTTTTCGGTAAAAATTGAAATATGAATTAGACAATCAAATTATGTTTCAGGTTCAACGAGTAAAAGCTTAACTGAATAACTGTTCAATCGGATTGGATACAATTCCACCAATTTCTGCTGTAGAGGCCACCAAATTGTGTAACACATCCTTTCAGAAAATGGGTCCAATTTGTAATTCGCCTACATCTTTAAAAGATAGTGGGTTACCAATGCCACTTCATCTATATTTAAATCGTCTTCATTCTCATGATGGCCATGGTCATGGTCATGGACCTGGTCATGGTCATCATCATGGTCATGATCATCACCATGGTCATGATCATCATCATGATCATGATCATCATCATGGTCATGATCATCATCATGGTCATGATCATCATCATGATCATGGTCATGGTCATCATCACGGTCACGGTCACGATCACGGTCACGATCACGGACACGGTCACCGTCATGGTCATGAACATCATCGTCCGCATATACAACAGCATCAACATGAACATTGTCGTCGCGATCGTTGTTAAAAAGTTGAACAATGTTCTTGTTATGTGCAATATGGTACAGCATATTAAAAGATTAAAATAAAACAAGAAAAATGTTTTTCTGTTATAAAATATTGTTAAAAAAATGACAATCGCTTGATGATGACGAAAGTACTTAAAACCGATAAGAAATAAAATCAAATGTACGATATGCATGTACTTACGCCTCTGAAGGCTCGTGGACAATTAAATAGCTTCGGACGGAATCGATAATATGGCAAACAGTTATCGCAATACTTTTTTGGTATTCAGTCGAGTAGATCTAATTCTATCGCGACTCCGACCACTTGTTTACAGCACATGTTGATTACGTAACTCGGTTATAGTATTACTTTAACCACACAGTGAATACATGTTCGTTACGAGTACTTTTGAAATCATTGTATGAATTATAAAATGTTATATAAACGTTAATCAAAAAACGATTTTAATAAATATTGTATAATACTGATGTTGCAAAAATTGAAAAAAATTGTCGAATTTAATTATATACCCAACCGCTTTCAGTCGGCAAAGTGTTAAGCATTTATCGACCAAATGCTTCTCTACACTTTGTTACCGATCGGTAAAGTGTTAACTTTAGAGCTTATCATTTACCGACACCTCTACGTTATCGACTTCTCATCCATAATCAATACATCAATCATTAGTTTAGCGGGTCAGAGCCTGTATCAGACACTTAACATACATGTAATAATATAATGTAATACTCTTACATTTTGCATATGTTTCATTAATAATTAAATATTTCGGGTGCATAAGTATCGTATGTTTATTACAAATCTTACGTGTGTAAACATTAGCGCATTAGTTATAGTCTTCTATTTTGATCCGGTTACGTCGATGGCTCCAAAATGTTAAGGGGTATCACATCAATTGTTCATCGGTTCCGAAAAGTGCCGTAAGTACTCTGGACTTACGCTAGCTTCACAAATGAAAGAAATAATACGTAACAAATATTCACTGGAAGTAAACGAAGATGATAGATATTATCACCGGAGACCAGAGAACTTGCGTAAATGAAACACTCGACGTGATCTACGCGCGTGACGAATGTGTTCTGCTGTTGAAAATGAGTCTTCGGGCGATCGGACCCCCCAGTCCTAACGCGATATTAAAAAATGTACGAGGAAGGATAAACTCTTTCACCCTATCTTCGAAACTTTCGTTAGAATAACGTTTCATTGTACTCGTTTGTAACTATGCTGTCTACTGAAAAAATCATGCGACGCAACTGCAACGTGGAAAAATTTCACTGCCCGCGACGTCGCGCGATGGAATATTAAATCGCTTTCTACCTCTACTTGGTCCGTTTTTTTGTACATACTTCTCGCGGAGGTATAATAGTAGCAATTTAACGTTGTCGTTTTTTACTACGATCTTGTGGACAAGAGAAAACGATAGGGTTGGATCGCGCACGGACGAGTTTAGCCATGAATAACTCATCGCTTGGGTTCGTGAAACACGCAGGTATAATTTCATTTCTACCTATTTGAGAAATGTCTATCCAGTTGATGTTCAATCGTTGTTTTTACCCCCTTAGACTACGAATGGGCAGTTAGCCTGAATCGCTACTGCTTGAAGATAAATGGTCTTTGGCCGCAAGTGAATCATGGTGTCGGTTCATTATTGGCAAAGCTGCACATAATAGTGCTTCTTATAGCGTTTACATTGGTCTGTACGATTCCGTGTTTCTGTGGATTGATCATGAAATGCGATAACACTATGGCGTGCATGAAATGTTTAGGATTTTGTATACCTTTCCTGATCATCTATCTGAAGTATTTTGTGATATACAGCAAAAGGAGAAGTAAGTTTGTGTATCAGGCACCGTTTTAATATCGACATAAATCGTTTTTTGCTTTCTTATTTTAAGTTCTGTTGCCTGTTCTACGTATGATCGCCGAAGACTGGGCAAAATCGAAAACGGATGCGGAAAAAGGCATAATGATACGTCAAGGTCGTATTTCACGAGCGTTCATGATATTTGCCTATGCAAATACAGCTTTGGCAGCGTTATGTATGATTACCATGCCACAATTGGGTAACTCGTTTCGACTCTCAACCGAGGAATCCGATTTATTTCCTATTCCGACTTATTTCGTGTACGACGTTTCGCAAAGTCCGTATTACGAGATAATATTCGCCGTTCAAGTAATTACCATAGTGACCGCATCATGTTGTTACATCGGAGTTGACCATTTCTTTGGACTATTGATTCTGCATATTTGCGGCCAACTGGAAATTCTTCGAACTCGTTTGTCGAATATGAAAAATTCCGACAATTTTGATTACAACTTAATGACCATCGTATTGAATCACAATCAGCTTATCAGGTATCTTGCAGAGATGAGTCGAATTCTCATCTAGATAGAATAAAGTAGAATAAGAAATAAGCTGGGTCGATACCAATTGAGGTTTCCGGTTGTACGCCGTGTCTTATTGGATAAGATACCTCGACGGTTTCGCCAACACTGCAGATAGCTTCTTCAGGGGTCAACTGACATTTCGATATTGCCGTGGTTCGTGTATCGACAGTCATTTTAGAGATCATTCAACCGAGCAATCAGAATAACTTCTATTGGTGACCAGTGAACCGTGCTTTGAGCTCGATGATTGGTTGTCAATGAACCCTGACATGAGCACGGGTACCACTAATGACCACCACTACACGACAAACACCAATACAAGTTTGTCATTTGACCTCTGAAGGGCTATAATCGCAATATCTTATCCAAAAGACGTGCCTTACACCTGGAAGGCTTAGTTCGTACGATGTCCATTTATGTACCTCCTAGAAATTACTATAAGTTTGACAATGATCTCCAGGGCAGTCGATACAATCGAAGACACGTACACGATGTTGCTTTTTGTCCTATTTCTTTACTTCGGTGTGTTTATTTGTATCTACGGATTAATTTTAGTGAACGTAAGTAAACGAACTCGAAGCACAGTCCATACATAGAATGTAAATTGACCATCCAGATATGTGATTATTTTTGCCTAGATGATCACTGGAGAAGGCACTTTTTCATCGTTGGAACTGTTCTTTTCGCTAAGTTCTTTTACGAATACCTTTGTTCAGACGGCCCTTTACTGTACCGTGGGTCAGATTTTGGCAAGTCAAGTAAATAGAATTTAAAATTTTTAAATGTTTGATGCTCGATTCTTTCGATTTTATTGCGAATATTTATCTAAAGTCGGAGGGAGTGTTCGACGCTGCCTACGAATGCGAATGGCTCAACCTGAAGGTGAAGGAAGCGAAAAATTTGATGTTGATCATGGCGAGAGCTCGGAGACCGCTTTACGTTACAGCAGGAAAAATATTTCCTCTGACGATGCTGACATTTTGCAACGTAAGACGTATCCTTCGCGTACGTTCTCGTTCTCGTTCTTCCTCGCATCTGTGAATCTCATTTACTATCGTTTCAGATATTGAAAGTGTCGTTCAGCTATATATCTTATTTACTGACACGGATATAGTATCATAGACCTTTATAAAAATCATTAATTTAATCGACGCGTCTACTCTAATGGAAGATTCGCTTAATAGAGTGTAATTGATAGATACATTATGGAAATGTACACAGAATCTTTTATTGCTAACGTTAAAGATGATTTATGGTAATCGTAAATGCAACGATCCAAGTTACTCATCAGTACTACACATCTCTCGAAACTAATAAACTAACATATTGTGTTTGTATAAATACAAATATGTAGAAAAATATTCCTATTCTATAGTTTTCAAGTTATTGATAGTATTACAATTCGATCGAAGATTTGTCAACAATAAATTGAAACGTGAAACATATACTACAATTTCTTTTTTCATCAGATGATTGTAAAAGTACTTTTTTATTTTATATGAAAACTAGTATAAGAATCTTTCTTTCCTAATTCAATGTTTGTCGTTTTGTTTGGATACATATTGCTACATTAGGGTACAATATTCAAAGCTCTGTACATTGTTATCCATTTAATATGTATTTCATACCATTTAGGTATCTTTTATTAAAAAACAAAATCTTATTTAGTAAACGTGCCCATGTACAAGCGTAAAGTATTGACTCACAAGTACGTCGGGTTGCCTGTTGCTAGGGGCGTTTCGACAAGAACAACGAGTTCAGGGTGTACTTTTGTAATATACACATTTAATTTACAATTTACACATTTGAATCAGTGAATATTTAACTATAAAGTCTATTATAACCTTAAGACTTGAGGTAATATTATTTTTCAAATTTTAAATATTTTACCTACAGAGAAGGTAAGTAGCTGCAACGGAAGCACATGTCCTAAACGAACAATTTTATTTTAATCTTTATTTTTCAATTATAATTCATAGAGTAATTGAAGATTGTGGTGCAAGAACTGGTTGTCTTCAAAAATGAAGATTTATCAGTAAATAAAAGTATTGTTCTTCTTTCTTAATTGGCCGAATACATTCTAACCTACAAATGATCGAAAATAGAAACGTTCGATTTATGCGCAAAAATCTTCAATTATTCTTTTACTTTGGTATTAATATTAATCTTAAGTACATGCCTTGGTACAATAATATGAATGTATTTCAAACTTATTAAAGTAGATGTAGCTATAGGGATATTTCATACTTTCGTTGGTAACGTATACTTTGATAAAGTGTATTTCGTTTTAGTACTATATGACAGTTGTCACACGTATAATTATTGTAACACAGAGTATTCTTCGATATTCTTCTGTGACTCGTCTTTCGTTTTCTTCTAGAAAAATCAAGTGTGTACTTAAACATCATTTTCTGTCAGGATATTTTACTGTTAAAGTAACTGAAAAATCATGTTCAGACCAGGGACTGGTTCGATCATAGTTTTAAGTAAGTTGAAGAAAAATGACGGCTAATGATTTTCGTTTGTTTAGAAATTAAACAGAACATTTCCTTTTTTACGATGTCGTGTGCTCTGATTATTGCAGGTCAGAATACCAAACGGGATTCCGGCCGAAAAGTTCAGAGAGAAAATATCGAAGCCGGCAAGGTGAGCTTCATAACCGATTTGCACATTTACCTTTTATGGTACCCAATCGTCGGCACGCCCACGTGTATTTTACTTTGCGGAATTTTTCGTTAATACTATTTATAATTCTACCCAGTAATGCCAATTGTAAAGAAAATTTTAAAGATTTTTTTCAAATAATTGTTGCACCATGTTGTACTTAGTTCTAAAATGAATTCTTTACAGTTGCATTACAGACACTTTTGTAATTAAATTTATATAGTCTTTATACTTATAAACTTAAATCATAATTTCATCATAACTATATTATTTTGTAAAGGCGATTGCAGATGTCATTAGAACATGTCTTGGACCACAAGCAATGTTAAAAATGTTGATGGATCCAATGGGAGGCATTGTTATGACTAACGATGGAAATGCTATTTTACGCGAAATCACTGTCCAACATCCAGCTGGAAAGTCAATGATTGAAATTGCTAGAACTCAAGATGAAGAAGTTGGAGACGGTACCACATCGGTTATTGTACTGGCAGGAGAAATTTTAGCTACCGCAGAACCTTTCTTGGAGCAAAATATGCATCCAACAGTTATCATAAGAGCATTTCGTGAAGCTTTGGAAGACATGGTGATCATCCTCAATGAGAAAGTTAGCATAGACTTGGATTGTAACGACAGAGAGAAATTGATTCAAGTGATAAATGCTTGCGTAGGAACTAAATTCATTGGTCGTTGGCCTGAATTAGCATGCCAGATTGCTTTGGATGCAGTTAATACTGTTAAACTTGAGGAAAATGGTAGACGAGAAATAGATATAAAGCGTTATGCAAAGGTGGAAAAAATTCCTGGCGGTACTATAGAAGAAAGTACTGTTCTTAAAGGGGTGATGATTAATAAAGATGTGACGCATCCGAAAATGAGACGATACATTAAGAATCCTAGAATAGTTTTGCTGGATTGTCCTTTAGAATATAAAAAGGGCGAATCGCAAACTAATATCGAGATAATGAGAGATACTGATTTCACTAGGATTTTGGAATTGGAGGAAGAACACGTTAAAAAAATATGCGAAGAGATTATATCTGTAAAACCAGATGTAGTCATTACCGAGAAAGGAGTATCAGATTTGGCCCAACATTATCTCGTGAAAGCTGGAATTTCTGCTATTCGTAGATTGAGAAAAAGCGATATTAACAGAATCGCAAGAGCTTGTGGCGCAACCGTCGTTAATCGTACGGAAGAATTGCAAAATGAAGATGTCGGTACCAAAGCTGGTCTTTTCGAAATTAAAAAAATTGGAGACGATTACTTCTGCTTTATTACGGAATGTAAAGACCCTAAAGCATGTACTATAATCTTGAGAGGTGCTAGTAAAGATGTATTAAATGAAATCGAAAGGAATTTGCAAGATGCTCTTCATGTTGCAAGAAATCTTCTCATTGAACCCAAATTAGTACCAGGTATGTACTGTTTCGTATTTGAATTATATACAATGGATTTTACAACATTCTATTAATATTACAATTGTATTGTTTATTAAAGGTGGAGGAGCTGTGGAAATGGCAGTATCAAGACTTTTGACAGAACAAGCGGAAAAATTGGATGGCGCGGAACAATTGCCTTATAAAGCTTTAGCGCAAGCCTTGGAAATAATTCCAAGAACTCTTGCACAGAACTGCGGAGCTAATACGATTAGAACGTTGACCGCGTTACGTGCAAAACACGCCACTGAAGGAATGACATGGGGTATCGACGGAGAAACTGGTCAATTAGTAGACATGAAAGAACGCGGCATTTGGGAGCCTTTGTCTGTTAAGTTACAAACATATAAAACAGCTATCGAAACTGCTATTTTCTTGTTACGAATCGATGACATTGTCTCAGGAAGCAAGAAGAAGAAAGATAATGAGTCTACAGCACCTGCACAAGTCACAGAAGAATCTATGAAAGAATAAAATTACTAAATTTGGTTGCGCTCGAAATGCTTTTATATTTGTGTTAACATTTAATAACTCATGTCCACGATAATTTTATTCGAACTCGATTCATGTTCATGAAAGGCATTATTTGCTTATCTGTATGCATTTTCACATAATAAAAATACTTTGATAAGTTATTAAAGCACGTGTCGCATTTATCTACATATTATTTTCAACCGACTTTTCGTTATAATGAGCTAACAATGCGAACCTTTGATAATTAGTGCAAAGTAATCATTTTACTGAACACTGCCTTGATAGCATATTTATACGAAATTCTAATAAAAGTAAAAAAGTATTTTACAAAACCGATATATGTACACGTATATTGGCCATGGTTTATACGTAGTACTGTTTCACTGCATGTTTAATATACCATGAAATAATACAATACTGCTGAAATGTTATCTTCTGAACTTTCAAATGCCTCCATTTGCATTCCATTCCGTCGAAACAATGTGCATAATAGGTGCTATTTTGTGATTAACGTTAAAAACACAGATAACATTTTAAATTATCAAAGGTCATAAATTTGCTAAAGTTTTGTAACAAGTGAATTTTATCAAAAAATATTAACAAATACTATTTGAATTAAAACTTTGTTTAGGAATTGAATGACAGTGTATTACGTTTCACATTCTGCTATAACAATTATCGAAACTTCTTAATAATAAGACAAGTATCCTTTCAATGATTTAAGTATCGCATAATTAATAATGTTAATCAGCGATGCATAGACCGGGAGCTTCGAAAGATTAGAATGTTCCATGACAGTGTTTCTCAAACAACGAACTGCTACGAACCTTTCCAGACATGAAAGTTTTGTTATGAAAACGTTGAATACTCATGGACCCCATGGACAGTTTGAGAAACGCTGTTCTATGAGATCGCAATGTACTTTAAGGAAGGTGGCGTTTCACGCGACACAGGTATATCGATTGTGTGTGTGGGGTGGCCGGCATGAGTGAAGGCCGACGAATGGGACACAATTTTCGTAACGGCTCTTTGCGAAACTGAAAACTGTCCGGTTTGACTGAACGATGAGAATGAACGTGAGATGATGCCAGGCACGTCTCGCCAACTGGGAACTTCGAACGGTGGTAAAAACCGATTTCCTTTGGATTGTTTTTTAATTTTTTTTATACGATACCGTGTCGATATTTCTGTCAAGGCTGGCAGATGTTTAATATTTTTCCGCGACTCGATGCGAACGAGGGATGCGAGCCGTACTCTTAACATTTTTTCACACACATTTGTTATTGTATTAATAAGAATGTATCCACGTGGTTACGTGTATACGGAAGTGATTTTCATATCTGTTTACTACGAGATTGACAGGTGTCTATGTTCTGTTGATTTCTAAGCCGAGTTATTAATAAATAACTCTTTTGGATTATCAAGAATCGTGTTTTAATGAAAATATCATCTCTGTTTTTTTTTTTGTTTATTTGTATTAAAAAGTATTTATAGAGAGGATCTGTTCTTGAAATTATAGTAGATATTATTAGTGTTTAGAAAAATATTACTTGTTAATTACAAACTGTGTTTTCATAATTTATATATTTTCTATCATTAAGTGAACAAATAGAATTGTTTACATGGTAAAGAGATTTAAGCAAAATACAATTTTGCCTCTGCAATTAGGCCCCGAGTGGGACACATTGATGGAGGTTCATCATGAACCGATTGAGAAAAATTTTAAGTTGCTGGAAGAAATTGGCAAGTAAGTATTTATCAAGTCATACATTTTATTAATAATAAAAATATAAATATGTTTTAAACAATTTTTCTTTTGTAAATTGTAGAGGACAATTTGCAATAGTACGAAAATGTATGGACATAAAGACTGGAGAGTTATACGCTGCCAAAATTATGAGAAAAAGACGAGTTGCCAGAGGTGTTGCAGCTGCAGACATTGGTAGATATCTTTAACTATACATTTGTAATTATTTTATACATAATTAGCTACTGTTTGTTTTAGCTCGAGAAGCTGGTTTATTAGCACGTCTAAGGCATCCAAATATTGTTTCGCTGTACAAAGTTGTAGACACAGGCACAACTGTTGTTTTACTTTTAGAATTAATTTCTGGAGGAGAACTATTTCACTGGGTACCATCTGGTGAATTAGAGGCTGCTCATGTGGTTTGTACTATAAAATAGTTCACATGAAGAAAGTATGCTGGAATTCATATTATAAACCTGGTATCAATTGTATTCTTTTATAGGTCCGTCAAGTTTTAATGGCACTTAGTCATTTACATTCTCATCAAGTTGCTCATTTAGATATCAAACCTGAAAATATCCTTTTATCAACTCCACCGCCAATGCCAAACATAAAGTTAATAGGTAATACACAAATATTTACTATCAAAGCTGACTTGTGAGTGTAAAGAAAATGTGTGTAATTCTATTATTATAAAGATCTAGGTCTTTCACACCGATTAGTACCAGGGTCAGAACACAGAGCATTGTTTGGTACACCTGAATTTGTTGCTCCTGAAATTGTGAATTACGAACCACTCAGTTTGGGAACTGATCTTTGGGCAGTTGGTGTATTGACGTATATACTTTTAAGTGGTGCATCACCATTCCTAGGTGAAGATAAACAAGAAACTTATGCGAACGTAGCTGCTTGTCAATATCAATTTGACAACGAGTATTTCAGTACTGTATCAGAAATTGCCAAAGATTTCATAAGATCCTTGTTGATCAAGGATCCAAAGTAAGTGAACAAAATTTGTAACTTATATTAAAGGTCTCATCTTTGAGACTTATGAGCACATCTTACAGTGTAACGAAGTAATAACAATAAATTTAATTTTCAGAGAAAGAGGAACTGCAGAATCGTGCCTTAAACATCCTTGGATCCTCACGGTCTGTTCCTGATTGCAATAATTATAATTTACATTATAACTGTCAGAGCTGATTTTTAACTTTTGTTTTTAATCGCTCGCATAACTTTTTTGATTTTTTTATGAAATAATGTTTATTTATGTACATCATGTGACTGGTGTTAGTATCATCTGTACAGTTGCATCATACATACAAATTACTTCTCACAGAATATACATTATTAAGTTAAACTCTATATATTTTTTTACTGAACATTTATACCTTGAATTATATTTTCCAAAATATAATAATTTAATATTTCTTACATAGTTGCAGGTAGTATTATTGAAAGATGTTTCGCGTGTTAATAATTTTTGGTTGAATATTTAAATATTTTTAATAATACAAATATATAAAGTTTAAATCATACATCATAATATAATTAAAAATAAAACATTGAACAGCTGTATCTTTTTGTTATTCTGTAGGAATCGGAAGCTTCTCAAGGTCTTGGTGGAGCCATGATTAGCGCTGTCAAACGTGGCTGTGTGGAGGCTGTGTCTCAGTTATTGCTACAAGGAGCACCATTGAACGTGAAAGATTCTGTAAGATTTTGCTTTTATGAATATCTTTCAAATGCAATATAAGTAGGATATAAACGTCGTGTATCTCCGCACAGAAAGAAGATACACTTTTACACATAGCGTGCGAGGCTGGAGATGAGGGAATGGTAACTTTTTTGATAGAGAATGGAATAGATCTGGATACACCTAATAAGAATGGCTTAACACCACTTCACGTGGCTGCTAGGCATGGTTTCATTAACCTTGTTAGACATTTGTGCCTTGCTGGATGTGATGTTGACAAAGCAAATCGTGGAATTAGAGCGGATGTGACAGCAATTAAGTACGGATATCCGGATATTGCGTCGTTATTGGATAAGCTCCGAAACGTATGTTACTAAATAACATTTATTTTATGGCGTGTATTTTCTACTAATGTCGATTCAAATTCTAGCCCATTCAACGTGAAAATTACATTAAACAGTTGCAACCAACACATAGACCAATAGATCGTCTACATATTAGACTGTTAGGACATTGCGCGTCAGGAAAATCGTCTTTAATAAATTCTTTAAAATCTGGTATTTTTAGTTTTGGCTTTTTTAGAAGGTCAAGAAGTCAGAATTATACTGCAAAGGTAGTTATATTAAATATACGATAATAGTATCAAAGATATAGCATATTTATTGAAATACTCCGAAAATGAAACATTCTATTAAAAATGACATTTTATATTCAGAGGGAACCAAGTATCGAATTAGATGTAACTAGCAAGCATGGTTCGCTTAGTTTTGAATATAGCGATAATGAATATGAAGGTACGCAAGGAGTAGAATGGAGTCGCGGTAACGTAGGTGAGAAAAATAACTTTGAGTTTTCTTTACGATACATAATAGTAGAAATACGCACGTTTATCATTTGAATTATTAAGGTGGAGAATGTGTATTTTGGGAATTATGTGGACGCGAGGAGTTTCTAGCATCATATCATTATGTTCTTACTTTTCAACAACCTGCAGTTCACCTTATAACAGTCAGTCTCAGAGAACCACTTACTGTACAACTTCAGCAAGTGAAATTTTGGCTGCGATTTATTTCAGATCGTATTGCATCAATCAATTTTGGTAAGAAATATTAACTATAACTTCGCTATAGTATAATTATATCTGTTACTAACTTTTAAAATACTTTTTCACAACATAGGTTTTGGTGGCAAATACAGTGATGTAAAAGTAATCTTAGTTGGGACATATGCACCAGAACCTCTTGCCTCAAATTCCAATTCTGGTAGCCTTCTTGCACCACTTTTACCTTTCTTAAAAGAGTTCACATCAATTTTGGGAGATGAACCTCAAATGGTCGCAGTGGATGCAACTAATTCTTCTAGTCCCGGTCTGAAACTTCTAAGATCATATTTGAATAATGCAAGGATGGACTTTCTAGAGGTGAAGTGATTATATGATTTATAAAAACTATTATACTTCACGCATTTTCTTACGCGACTTACGAGACAATTTTTTTGTTTCTATCAAGGATTGCTAAACGCGTACTAAAAGAGCATCATTGCGATTATCATAGTTTTTACTAAGTTCTTATAAAAATGCGTAATCACTTCTACTACCTTTTCAGTCATAACATTTTTTTTATAACATTTACATTAAAAAATGTTTGTATTAAATTGTTAAAATGAACTGAACTAAACAAATTATTGCATGCCGGCATATACAGTACCAGATTTAAGAAAGTCAAAA